ACTGTATGCTTAACACTCAAATAAATATAACATGGCCCTATGCATAATAATCTTCTTCAACTACAGGCACAGCAGTTCCAAAATAATTCTGGATTTTATTTTAACTTAAACTTTCTTACAATGTTGTAAAAATAATTTACTTGTGTACGTGAATAAAGATAACGCAAGGACCACATTTGTATATAAAATTGTCTTGAAGAGGCCGGTAATCCAATTTGTTTTCATTAGTGTTGCACTGAGAGCACGCCTAACCAAATGCCCGTACAAAGACCAGCAAACTGATATCAGTCAAATCAGCAGACCTCCTTCACTTACTACCTTTGCTTATTTAAACAAACCAAAAGACATGGACTGTAACTCCCTGTTCTATTGAAGGGTTACAAATACAGACTGCAAAAGCAAATTAACCCTCTGAGGAGAGGGCACTTCTGAAATAAAATGGTGTTTTAGGAAACTATTTTCTGAGATCAAGCTTGAAGAATAATAGTGCTAAATATTCTACTGAAGTTTGAAAACTCAAAGCTTCCTTAGTTAAAACAACATACATCTTTGATAGCTTATATTAATGGGTATGGTAGCTTTGCAGAGTATTGTTTATGAATATAATACATACATAGTGCTGGGTTTAATATTTTATTTGAATGACCTTTAATGTTATGCAAAATAAATTGTTATGTTACATCCACTGTGACATCAACTAAAATGTGAACTAGTTTGCATAGGTTAGTACTTTGGGCAGCATGATGTTGCTCTAGTCCACCAAGGCTTAAATATTCACAGTGTAGAGGAAGAAACAGGAATTAAAGCATTTCTACTAAAATATATTTTAATAGCTGGTGTTAACTTTCTGCATAACAAAAGCCATATTAAGATGATACATCATATGATCCAAGAGTAAGTATATCTGTTCTTTGAAAAACAATTGTTACCTTCATAATTGTATACTCCCAAATACAGTACAGTTTTGCAAAATAACTAAAACTTGACACACTTTAAAGCAAACATAAGCCAAACTGCACAGCGGTTCATTTTTGCTTTTTATGTCACACTGCAAAAACCAACAGCTGAGAGAGTTTCCAAATCATGCTAATCAATGTCAATACAGTCATTGCTGTCTTCCAATGGTCTAGCAATTTCTAATAGTAATATTAAATACACGATTGAAATGCTACAGTATAGCTTATTTCCCCCCCTAAAATAATAATAATTAAACAAATGTCAACAACAACTGGATTACAACTTAAGTACAATATGCAAATTCTATTTATCAGACACAAGAAGCATATGAAATTTCTTTGACTATACTGTTGTAGTGCAGGCAGTTTAGGAAATATAGCTTTCAGGTTTTCTTTCAAAAGGAGAGATGGGGTTCCTATGGCATAAAGCTGGAGAAAATCACTAAAGCATTGCAAAATGGTTTATTCTTCTACAGCTCACCAATACTTTGCATTTGCCAGCACATCAGTTTGGAGATCTTTCAACAGCATCTTTTGTCTGTTTCAGTATATTATTTAAACATTTACTAACTAAAGCGTATTCTGTATTTTAAATGGAGTATTAATCAACATAACTAAAATCTAACATTTTATACCCTGTACCACTTTCTGCCAAAGACTTCTGTATTTGTCATTTCTTTTTCATTGTACAAGATGACATGCAGTCACTGTACAGTTAAAACTAGAATTATTACCTTTCCCAAGTATTGGAGACCTTCCATATCCCCGAGGAACACTTGGTAGGGACATATTTGTCAAAAATATAATCCATGGGAGGTGATTCTCTGTCAAATCCCAATCTGCTGAAGTGGTTTATGGTATGTCAAATGTAATCAAGGAAACCCTGTTTCATCAAGATTAAATGCTAATGTTCCATCATGAAAAATTACAGCTGCAGTATCTGTAAGTAGCTTTGTTTAGAAAATGAAGATTAGCCAGGCAAGAAAGAGTAATGAAAAGCAAGGCACCCATTTGTTCTTGTATATATGTATGAATATGCTCTGTGTTGTTTTCCATGTTTCTACTCGTGTTAGCAAGAATTACAGCATATTTTATCTTCTTTATTTCTAAAATGCTTAAAATGGAAATGTGTGAACTTCCAACCTGAACTTTGGAACATCTTGGGGAATTTGGCTCCTTAAAAGTCTTTTCCTTTCCCCACAAAAATGTTGTCTACAGGAAGAAAGTACAGTGAGGGGAACATGCTGTGTTAAAAAGGAATACATAACTTTAAAGGTGACAAGACAGCATATAACGTCTGTTCACACCTATATCCCACTGCATGTAACAGGCTCCAACATACGCCTTGTAAAACCTGTGCTGGCACAACTTAATTGCCGACATACTTTCACTACCTTACAAATTTTAGATCTTAAAAAACATTTTTATAATTGCACTCTGATAATTTTGGGCCTTTGATAGCATTGCTTAGAACAAAGCTGCATAATGACACTAAAGTTTGGTTTATATCAAAAAGCAGGAACCATTCCACATGAACACAAATTACTAAGCATATACAACGTAAAAACCTGACTACATGAATAAGTAACTTAAAACAGATCTTAATAATTCTGCTGACATACCATTCTCAAGAGAAATACAATTCACATACTGTTTTGTTTTCTTGACCTTTTTTATTTTGCAAATTGCTTTAGCTGCTTTGCCAGGCTAATGAATATTCAAAATTCATAAAGGAAATTTTATTTCCATTGTTTAGCATAACATAGTTCTCTAATGTCATCAAATGCTCATTTCCTGATTTACTTTTCACTATACCTACAGTGTTCACTGTAAGCTGTCTCCTCACTTGGGAAGAATGCTAATGTATTTATAGGTCGAGACTTTCTTTTTTATAAGTCACTAAAAATTGCAACTTGATGCAATATATCTATTCCCTGTATTTCTTTTTATTCATATCTGGTTAAGAAACTGACAACTTGTTTTTACAGTTGTCAGCATTACACAGCTAATAGAGCAGCACAGCAGCAAGGGATAGCCAATTCTGCCTCAGGCATCATCAGAAAAATTTGCTAGCCATCGTAAGATGGGATTTCTCTCCTTGATGTTGATGGCTGGTGATGAAAACCAACAGGGAAGCAGACTGCTTCCTTCAGAGCTTCTAGCTCAGCTTACCACAACAGCCTTTTGAAAAGCCATTTGACTTGCAAAGCTTGCTAATTTAATGTGGAAGTCACCAGTAATGCATAAGGGTCTGTCACAGCAGCAGCCCTATATGCAAAACTTTCAAGAATTTTAAATGACAGCACCCATACAGATTGCACATTTACAGTATTGCATTCCTAATTTTAAATGACATTTTTTGAAGTTAGATGCTCCTGGTCAGCTTTAGGCTTGAAATTAGGCAGCTGACAAGAAAGCATAGGCAATTCCACAGTCATGGTCATTTTTTAATTTTTTTTTTTTTTAGCGCAGTCATTCCTCCCTGTTTGGCAGCTGGGATCAGCCCTGTGTTAGCAACACCTAAAAAAAATTGCATAAGCTTTCCAATTCCTAATTGTATGCAAAAATAGAACTACCAGGCATTTGCATTGATAACTTTCAGTTGACATAACACCACCATACTGCATTCCTTCTTTATTCTTTAAATAGACATTGCAGGCTTGCTTACTTTGTGAAACGAGAAATACAAAATTGTCTGTAAACTCTATATTTAATTCTACTTTAAAAATTTCAGAAACAGAAGAAAGCCAGTGCAAGCTCAACGTTCTGAGACCTACTCCAAAATTAACTTCTCCAGCAGATGGCTGAACACCAGAATTGATACTATCAGCAAAACCATCTTCTTCCTTACACATGTATGCATCCACATGAGTAAGTTCCCATGTGAATCTTTAACTCTTTTGTTCTTCCTCCCAGAGCTTCTCCCTGGGAAGGAACACGGCACCCTCCTGGCATCCAGTCAAAGGAAAAGCACCTTCCCTGTGACCCAAGCCTGCTGATACAGTCCCTCTTACAGGTCCATTATGTCACCAGTTATTTGATCCTCTCCTCAGCCTCACAGACCGAGACCTGGATCTCTCAGTTCTGATCATAAGTTACCAGACACCAAATAGCGTATCTGAAGGTTTGCCAGCAAAATATTTTGACTGTTTTCTATGGATGGCTAAACTGAAGCATGATGGCATGGAATATGTTGGACTTCTGTTTAGTTAGTTTTCCCTTCGGTGTCAGTTATGAGAAAGATTAAATCAGTAAAAGAAAACATAATATTTCTCCATTGTTAATCATTTGGCAAGCATAAAACCCACTGTTGGATCACCAAGATTGCTGGAGGAAACTGAGGCAATAGGCCATTGAGCTGAAATGCACTACAATAACCAGAGCTCTCCTCCACTCCTCGATGGACGTGCAAGTATTTCTGAAGCAGGGGTAGGTACATTAGCTCATCAGCAAAGCAGCCATTAAGTGAGTTACCTGTAGTAAGAAGGAGGGATGTAACTGCAGGCTTTGTGTGACTGCACAGCACTGGGGCCTCACACAGGATATTTATTTACAGCAGTACAGGTGAAGGTAAAGGAACTAACATGAAGTATTTGTTGTACATTGCCCTAATGGAAGTTTATTTAAATGCTAAGTATTATTAGAAGGAAACAGAAGAGTTGACAGGTTTTATACTCTAGATAGTCTTTGCAAGGAATTTTCTGTGGAAAAGATGCCAAAGAACCATGAATTCAGGCACGGATCTAACTGATGGACTGGGATGCAAGCAAAGCTGATAGAAGAGGTCACTGTTGGAAATAAGAGAAAAAGGGTAATCCAGGAATAAATGTGGGTATGCAAGAGTCAGGAAATTTTTGCTGTCAAAACAGACCTGTTTACTGTAAGGCTGCTGGGCAGTAGGGGGTTTTATTTGGGTTTTTTTAGTAGCATATTACTTGTCATTATTTCAAATGATTGAATTATCTACTTAGCATTTTAATTTTTATTCGGATGCTAACTGCTCAAACATTAAACACCTCCCTAATAATCTGAAGATGTGTTCAAACTCAGTGTGTTAACCTCCTGTGACTTCAGAGTGCCATAAGAAGTGAATCGATTTTATGGTTGTTATTATAAAGAGAAATAATGTCTTTGAGGTGTAGGGAAAAGGTATTTCCCCTTTACAACTAATTGACTAAAACCTTTACAGGATTGGCAGCACCAGGCTTCCATATATGTTTTTCATTTTGAGGGAGCGCTATTATATGCAATGCTCTTTTCAAAGCTCTGAGCTTCTTGTTGATTATTTATCTTTACTTTGAAGGACTCTAAACTGGATTCTGAGTGAGAATGCAGACTGTTACAGCAGTGTTAAAGTAATGAACATGTACTCTTAAAAGATTCTTCTGACTTTTTCTAAAGGGTTAGGTTTTGAGTAAATCATAATAAAGCTCAAAGGACTAGACACAAAAATTAGTTAACAAACTCAATATAATTTGCTGGAAGCATTCCTGTTTTCCCAGTTCTCTGAACAGTACCATACATCCAGCCATCATCAATTGGTTGCACATTGATGATATAATCACCATCCCTGAAGGAAACTTCATCTTCATCTTGAGCACTGTAGTCATACATAGCTCTGTATGTTCTCTGTTGAAGGAAAGAAAACAAGGCTGTAAAGTCTCAAGCCTAAACAGAGATAGATTCCTTCTCTTCTTTGCACAAAGAAAATGAAAAGAGCAGGAAAAAGAACAGAGGGAGAAATCACAAGTTACCTGTTGAAAAGAAACAGTACACCCTCCACCCTGGCAAATATGCAGTGAATACAGCCCCTTTTTCCAAGTACCAAAATAATTCTTTTTGTGAACCTGCATTGTCCAAAGTCCTCATACAAACAGATTTCAAGCCAATCACTGCCTCTTGAAATATTCCACCTGTTGTTTCATACATTCACTAGTAACAGTTCATTACATCTAGCCATGGCTAGCTGTGCTTCTGCTCCCTATTTGCATGACTCCCAAATAGCTTCTCCTGTGTCTTCACTACAGAAAAGAAACACATTCTTCATCCAGGTCATTAACTCTGCCATCTCACTGAATGTCCTTCATTTCATTAGGATTTTACCCCAAATTAAGAATTAGGAATGTATTACTATCTAATGAAAAAAAGACAAGATTTTTAAAAGCCTGCAAAAATACTTTTTATTAATACTCGGTTTTGCATATTCAGATAAAAGATCGATCTAAACAGAACACCAAGGCCTATCATTAGCTAAGCCAAATTTCTCTACACCTCTGTCCACTGTAAGCCAAGATTTTAATTTTCTTTCTAAATAAGAGTATTTATTTCCACTTATAACCAATAAAATGCTGGAATTCAAAGTGGATTTTCAAACTCAGAGGGAACAGTCTACTCCTGTATCTTAACAGAACAAAAAAACTAGCTCATTTTAAAATTCCCAGGGATACTTGCTTTTCCTTACCCTGGCTCTTGACAGAAGTCAAGAGCAGTTCAAGCATCACTGATAATATTCAATTTCCCTACCAGCAATTTTTGATATTTCACCATATCTAGCTCAATTTTTCTGCTACAAGGATTCAAAGAGAAAAAAAGGTAAAAACAGTCAATGTTTGAGTTAATGCCTAGTACTACTGTCTGAACCTTTTAAGAGACAGCAAACTTTTTTCTGCTTCCCAGCTGAGGAAAACAGGTCTGGATTAATTTTAATCCATCTCATATATGGGGGGTTGAGGGTTTTTAATGAAATTATTTTCAGAAAAGATGGAGATTCCTCCACACACAGTAAGTCATTTGTCACATGTTGGAAATGTGGGATCATCTAATCCAAACACTATAGGGCAACACATTATTACTGTTCCCCTGCTAGAAATACACTTTTGTCTTGATTCTGCCTTTATCATTGGTAGTGCAGATTAAACACTACAGAGAAATCAACTCCTGGTTAAACACTGGAGACCACTACCATTCCTGACAAGCCTACTCTGAACTGTATTTGAGTCTTGCTCTGTATAATTGTCCTCTGTCATCCCTTGTAGTGTTGCCACCCTACAGGCTGCGACCAAAAGTGATCTTCTACCAGAGGTATGTGGTTTCTTGGTGGTTCCTTAATGTCTTCCAAGTGTTCATGGAAGGTGATGAAAAAAAGCATCATTGTTTATGCACTACATCAAAGCAACAAATTGGGAGGGTTCTATCATCACCAATAATTCCTTAAAGATTCACAAACTAGAAAACCAGTGGTCAGAAGACCCTAAGGAATGGTCTGTGCCTTTGAGAATTTTATTTTTTCCAACTATTTCAATTGATCTCTCTACTGAGCCTTAAACTAACTCCAAAAAAAACAGTGGAGAATATGCTATTACAACAAGCTCAGCAGCAGTTAGTCCTTTAAAGAATTTATTTCAAAAAAAGGTCCATTTAAGAAAAATGGTAGTAAGTCCATATCTGGCATAAGGCAGAGAATAGATTTTCCTCTGAGCCATGCTTATATGTCTCCCTTAAATGGGCAAAGACTGGGGCAAGAGATTAAATGTTTTTTTAAAGTAACATATAATTGGAAAAAAACAGTTGTTTTTACTCACCCAGAAGGATGCTCACTCATCCTTAGAACATCATGGTATAGGACATACTAGTGCTGTCTCCTTTTAGGCAGACTACATCACTGTAGTAGCACAGTTGTGAAGAGAAGCTAGTAATTTCAAACTTTAAAAAAATTTATTAGGGCCCTAAATGCTGCTGAGAAACCTAAATTTATGGCCTTAACACCTAATTAGGTGCTAAATGGCTGTCAGGAGAAATCTCCATAATAATCCTGTTAGCATTTAATGCCTAATTATCACTTCAGAGTGTAGTCTGGGCTATATAATTGAGAATTACAATGCTTAAAGGACTCCAAGCAGGGATTTCTAAAATGCATTTTAGTGAATTATTTCTCTGTCAGCAGTGAGTTTAGCAAGTACTGAGAGCACAAGAGGGTATAAGAAAAGGTTGGGGTTTCTGTAAAACAGTCAAACACTCACTTATCTCCCACCTCCTCAAAGGTCTAACTTGCAGCTACTGCTTAGACAGAACAGTAAGTCTTGTGCATATGAAGTACTGAAGCCCAGCTCTCATATTCCCAGCTCCCCAGCCAGATGTGAGCTGATAGATGCATATTTCCACTTCATCCACCAGTTGATACTTATTCTATGGATTGCTCCTTGCAAGGAAAAGTACCTGTTGTAGTGTCCTTCACATAGAACAGCTATCAAGGAAAGTCAATTTGCAACCTAGGTTTTGCTTTCCTATCACTTTTAGTTATCTAAAAACATAAGAACACCCTCTGTTATGTTCCAAAGAGGGAAAGAGCCTTCAGGGGTCTGTTATAAAACATTCTATACTCTGAGCAACAATATAATTCAGCCCATTATGCAAAACTGCTCATAGAAAGTGAGCAAAAGTTAAGAATCAGAAAATAACACAATTTATCTAGGAAAAAAATCTACGCAGAGACTGTGTTAGGATCATGCTCAAAACTAAATCAACCAGAATTTGAAAATTTAGAAATTAGAAAATTTCTATTTCTCAGTACAGGAAATTGGTGGACATAATTATAAAATGAACTTATGTCTTTTGAGACCCTGATTTGAAAACAGTGCAATAAACCGGCTGAAAGGAGTAGGTTTTACTACAGCAGCTAATTCTCCAATCACCCCCACCCTGATACAAACCATGGGATCTTAATCACCCTCGCCCTAGAGATGTGCTGGCCAAACTTATGGGTGGCTTTGCCACCTTCATTGCTTTTCATTAAGTCTCAAAAACTGCTTGTGCTTTGAGACCAGTATTCAGGCTGGGATTTCTTTCCTCCCGTCTCTTCCCCTTCTTACTTTCTTCTCTTACTTCTTTCTTCCCTCTGCCTGGCTTAGCCAGACATGGCTGCATCTCTGGCAGTACTGCTCCAAGCCCAGAACCAAACAGGCAGCTGAAAGCAATGAACCTAACAGTGTTTAAGTTTATCAGATCTCCTAGTGCGTGTCCACACTGCATTTGAAAAGCACTCCAAGGCTGCCTTCCATCTTCAGTCTGTGCGAATCGCTACACTTAAACACATCCCCAACCAGAAGTTTCCTCCAGCACACACTGGGAACCCCTTGTGCCACCCCAACAGCTGAGTGTAACATGCCCAGCACGCCTGGATAAGATGCACAAGCTAAATAAAAGACAGTCTTTTGATGTGAAGGTGGAAAGGCAAGGGAGGATGCCAGGCTTCTAGCTGTATCTGAGATACCTCTTTTGGAGCAGAATCATCACCCTGGGGCGTGATAAGATCAGTTGCTGTTTCCTTTTTTCCCCATGATAAACAACTATTATCCCTTAAAAGAATGTCAAATTATAACAGTTTCACAAAAGGGATAAGAAATCCTGTTGAAAGGAGACAGTCAATCCTTTATTTTTTAAATGCTTTAACTTCACTCTCTTCCTTTTCTTATTTACTTTTGCATTCCCCATTCTGGAAGGAGAGGCAAATGATGATTCTCAAGATGACTGAAATGATATTGTTTCAACAGGTAGCCCACCAGATCAGTCACTGGGAGATAGAAATATCAGGGAAATAGTAGCCATCTACCTGCCCACATAGCTATGAAGGCTGCTAAGTGCATTTTGAGATTTGCAGGCATCTCCATTCTCTGTCTGCTGGATTTGAAGACTGTTTGCTTTGCTCCCCACTGACTAGCAAATCTGCTGGCAAAGCCCAGGCTTCCAGGTCTCCCATTTTTTGGACTCTGGCCCTTTTGGAAAGCAGCCAGCTCCCCAGGTGCCTTGCGATATCCTTGGAAATTAATGGTTGATTCCAGTATCAGCTGCCTCACAGCTGTCATGCAGGTGTCCAAAGAGTTTCTCAGGTTATTGGCTCACCAAAAGATGCAGGTATCTGGATCCCAGACTTCCCAGCAAGTTAGCCCCCTCAGTCCCCAAGCAGCTGAGAAAGTGGCAAGCCTGAAAGCACCCAAACCTCATAGAACATCATGATCTTTACAACATAAAATGCCATGGAGTTTCAGTCTTAAAGAAAAATACAAGTTTCAGCTAATCTTGAAAACAGTTTTTTTCAGCTTAGCAAGCTCTCAGTTTAGTTCATAACTAAATATTTCATCTCTAAAGAGGTGACTGAGGTAGCAAATATACATCCATTCAAAATAGTTTAAAATTCAAAATTACAAGTCAATATTTTTAAGGTAAAAGGTGACTGGATCTGAACTATGAAATCTCTAGGCAGTGATATGATAAAAAATAATATGATAACCATTAAAACTGAACTTTATATGTAAAGATTTCCAAAAGGAAAAAGAAGCTCAATTTCCTAAAAATTCCAGCTGAATACCCATTCAGCTCTCCTTCCATGACCAGTTACTTCTAAAATGAAATATTCACTCCAGCTTTACATTCCCATCCAGCACAATTAAGAAATTCATGACTGTGGCCATGGTTTCATGATAAAGCTTCTTCTCAGTCACCCAGCAGTATAACTCGATTTGGATCAGGCACGAGTGCATGCATGACTCTCCTGTTGAATTAGGAAGGGCACACCAATATGGAGTCTGAGGTAAGTTTATATAAGTACAAAATCAGCAGGTCAAAAAATCTGAAACAAATTTAAACCAACAGGGTCATCATAAGAGACTGTGGTTTTCATCCAGTGCTAGAAGCCTGAATTCATCAAAGCTCAGCCTGTGAAATACTGTCCAAGCATTTACTATTTGTTTTAAGTAGACAGAAGATTCAGTTATTTGTCTGCCTTCTGGAGATCATAAATAATTTTTTTTAATGCATTCTGACATAAAAGTTCTTGCCACTGCCCTCAGTCACTTAATCTTTTTTATATCTGAGGACTATCACTTGCATTTAGGACTAGGACAGTCAAATAGCCCAACTACAGAACTCAAGCGTACCAATTCACTCATTTAAGAGATTTCACAATAGCTGATGATGTTGCTTACCAAATAAAATCATTCTTCAAATCCAATACTCACCAGACCTGCTGAATGAGGCTGTGAATGCATGGACCTCATGGATGACATACTGGTCTGGTGCATGTATCCATATCCCTGGGACTGGCTTTGCTGATATGCCCCAGGGAGAACAGGGGCTGTGTGTTAAAGAAATACAGACACATTAATTAAGTTTTTAAAAAAGTCCTTATCTAGCATTTTGTAGAAACTGTAGATTATTTGCATTGTAAATAACAGTTCCTCAGTATGAAACAGTTCAGAATGATTTCCATATACAACATAGGGCTTTCCATAGGTAGAATTACACATAAATGTAAAGCCATAGCAATATATCCACAAACACTGTCAAGGTTAGCTGGAAAGAAAAGCTCAAATATCTTAATTAGTCTGACCACAAAAAGGTGTACAAAAGCTTGAGACACCACTAAATTTTGATACTGCCACAGATGACGCACTAAATATCATGTGCCATAAACTACCATTTTTAAAGGAAAGATTGATGAAAAAAGCTATATACTAATACAGTTTTGAAATGTTTCAGTAGAAATTCTCTGCAATTAGCTCTTAACTCATTGCAAACTAACTTGTATTTATTGGGCTATGAACAAAGAAGGACTGTGATTCACAGGAAGAGACAGAAATGTAAAAAAGTGAGCCCACGGTTGGGTTTCTCAGTTTATTCTGATTCCACCAACTTTCTTAGCCAAACACAGAGATCAATGGTTACTTAAGTATTTCCAAGTCCACCTCTTTCAGTATCTTCCTCTTACCACACAATTGTTCCATCTCTTTCACACATATTTTATTCACATTATTTTAACAATTACATTATCTTAACAATTCTGTATGCTAATCATTAACATGTTGACTTTTATTGTACCAAGAGCTGCTGAAAGAGTTATTAATACAACCAACAAGGACTCTCTACCTCTACAGCTTACTAGGAAAGCATTCGTAAACCTTCCATATCTGCTCAAACACCTTACTTCAGCAAGACCAAAACAGAATGAGTTAAAAACATGGTTGATCAAAAAATATGCGAGAAATAAGCACAGCATAAGTGATGACTCACTATTTTCCTAGCAAACCCAATAAGCATTTTTAAAGCAAAATTAAGAGACTGAAGTGGTTTTCAAAAGCTAAAGATTAAAAGTTTAGTCACCGCATATTTGTGCATGTTTTAAAGACTCTCACGCACTCTGAGAATAAAGACTTCTGGCTTGTATGGAGGTTATTAGCCCTTCTCCACTGTTACCAGAATTTTACTAGTTCAACTGGAAATTCATTTAGCTACACTGAAAAGAAAATGCATTTCTGTTGCTACTTCTTCAAGTGGTCCATCTAGCTGGTATTCTAACTCCTCTGACAAAAGCCATCTTTTGCTTACAGGAGATGGAGACCATGCGGCCCATGAGTCAAAAATCTTCAAACATGGAATCATTCAGCAGTCTGACACTTTTTGAGATACATCTCTTGGTCTTGCTGGGAACTTCAGGAGCACCCATCACACACAGAATCAAAAAAGAGCAAAGCTAATGTAGGATTTAATGGGGTTCAAAATGTATGGAAGGACCCAGGACTTTTAAAATGAAAAAACATGGGAGAAGCAGGAAACCTGCACTAAAAAAAAAAAATTAGGAGAAGTATTTATATTTGCAGTAATAACACTCTGTCCTTCTCTGCTTCTTCAGGATCAGGACAATAAATGTGTGTGAAAAAGGATTAACAAGAAAATGTTTGCTGAACTATTTCAGAAAGAAAAGTCAATCTTGTGCTTTCAGCAAGGTGCTTTACCTATCATGCTTCCCCAGCTAACAAAACCACTGATTTTAACAAAGGTTCTTCTTAAAACATCCATTTAGTTTTAGTTAGCATATTCAAATGCACCAAGTATGTAATTACAATTTGGGATGTTACTTTTTGCTCTACTATACTTGTAAAGATACTTAACACTGTATATTTAACTAGGGTTTTTCTGATTTAGAAAACATGTTTCAAACTATTGTAATGAATAGATTGCTTTGTTAAGTGAGTGAAATTAAAGTGATACACAGTCAGATGCAACACTGGAACATGATGAATAATGGATGTTTTAGGAGTGCCAAGTTCATTCTAATGACATATGAGTACAAAGACATTTTAAGGCAGTTTAATCATCAGAGAATTGCTGCTCGTTAACATGTTCACAGGATTATCATGCATTAAGTGAATAGTCCTAAGTAATTCATGAAATAATTTATGTTTCAGTGTTGTTACAAGCTATTTCTACATGACCAGATGTAGCCCTTCATGAGAAAATAGAGAAAAAACCATCATTTAATCAAAGGTTCTGCAATCAAGCTGGAATGAATGTGTTTTGCCTAATTCACCACCAGCATAAACGTAGGTCAGTTCATAGAAGCCACCGGAGTCTCATCTCCTCATACCAGCAGTAAATTGGTTATGTGGGTTGAAAACACACAAGCTGAAAACAGCTTAAACTTTTTAACTTAATAGAAAGCAGTATCTTAAGCTGACAATGGCCGCTGATCAGTGACTGCCCACTCTGCAGCTACAAAGGGCTGGTAGCTTTTCCCTGGTCCCCGGCAGGGGCAGACCCCCTGAGAGTCCCTTTCTTCTTCCTAAAAGTGAAGACACTGGTAGAAACTTTTTACTCGATTCCTTCTCCCCAGAACAGATCTTTCTCAATTCCTACCAATCATCCCTTGTCAGTGTAATGCAGCAAGTGTACTGATGGCCAGCTTTATTATAGCCTCCAAACTGACAGGCTTATTTTGGGGAGGATAACTCATGCCTCCTGCCTCTGTGACAACTGTCAGCAGCAGGTCTGAGACGTTCTTTCCTCTTTTGTAATCAGCTTCTCACAGTCTGAGAGAATTCTGTCAAACTGTCTCAGCAAACCTGTTTGCTAATTTACCTGCAACAATGGAAACCGTAAACCCAGAAATAAAAAAAAAAAAAACAGGAAATAAAGCATTTCTTCCAAAGCAGGAGAAATTTTAGGAAGCATTAGAAGCTGAAATATTAGAAAAAGATTCTATACTATCAAAAAGAAGGAATTTCTAGGATTAGCTTTGCTAATTGTCTTCTAGTCCTTCATTTAGGTATCATATATATGAGCATATATATCAGCAGATATCAGTGTTGAAGACACTTGATTGAATAATTCCACCTTTTTTTTTCCATTAAAAGAATACTGTAGTAGGGCCGCAAAAAATGACCAATAGTTTTTAACAGTTTTTTACAAAAAGTACTTAAGAAAACTCCAGATGGTTGCCTATTTGGAAGATCATTTGGGAATCACATAAATAAGCAGGCTAGTGAAGAGACAACAGATCTGAGCTGTGTTCCTGGTGATGTACAGATAACTCAAGGTGAGATTAAATGATGCAGAGAAAGAGTTTGACTTTCCACCATCATCATCACCCATAGTTAACTGCAATCTTTTGGCTCAGACCAAAGTATAAAGTTCTATAACATCACTGACTGCAGCAGCAGCAAAAAGCAATGGTTTTAGTTAACCTAAGGGAACAATAAAACACAGTGGTGGAACACGAAATTCATTTAGCTGAAGCCAGATTTATTGGTGAGGGAGCTGAGGGCTGACCATTGCTCCCAGAAGTAGAGGTGGATGTTTTTTCTCGTTGCATTAAGACTTTACCAGATGCATTCTGATGTATCAAAACTTACTTTTTTTTCTTGTCCCACTTACCGAGCAAGCCAGATATACATTTTAAATTATCTACTCGAAGAAATTTATCGTATATCTCTTACTATATCTTTATAGGCTTCCCCAGAGAAAAGACAGAGAAAAATGAATGAACATGATAAAAGGCAAACAGAGAGGAAGCCTCCAAGAAAAAGAAGAAGCTGAAAGAATAATAACAAGTATCAACTTGCTGCAGCAGACAATGGGGTCTGCACAGTGTGTACCGATCAGGACATGCTTTGAGAAGGACTGGGAAAGAAAAAGGTCAGACTGTGGCAACAGGAAAGGTATAATTAAGAGAGCACTGTATAATTACAGGGTTAAAAAAAAGTTTATTCTAAAAAGAAAAATCATTTAAAGGGTAGGTTCCAAGATATATTTTATCAAAACCATACTTAAACTCTTTCATTCTTTCGTACAGCAGAACCTTGACAATCCATGGTAAAACAATGTATCCCCACTGCTAACTACTGCAGTTTTGCAATTTACTAGACCAGATGTAAAATGACAATCACTTCATTTACTTACAGACATCATGCAGTTTTAAGCATTTATTTCACTTCATATTTTGATGCTATCTCAATTCATGGTTTCACTACTACGACTTCAGAGAACTCACAAAGAATATTGCAACATTTTGTAATAACAACAACAACATGAGAGAGCAGGAAGTAAAAAAGGACGATGATCATTATGTGCTTAATTCTAGTGCCTGTAAGACACTAGAAATCAAGTTGTAGGTTTTCTGAGGAGCACAAAAGTTGCAACAGAGCCAGAACACAGCATCATCACATGTCTATGTGCTACTGACATTATGACTAGCTCCCTCAAAGAGATGAACCTGTTACAGGAATCATGTTGCTCCACATATATTGAAGTCCTTCCCCTGTTTTGCCTTGCCGCTGCCTCATTTTCTACAGATTGCAATGCCTAGAGCAGGCTTCATGGCCTTACTTTACAAGGCCTCTCCCACAGCTTTCAATTCCTTCTTTCTTTTGCCCTTCCAGTAGAAGTTACTCAGCTATGTCCCATGCAGCAGAAAACGTTGTCAAAGTAGTGATGTAATCAGACGTGGGTAAGTCTAGGTCTAGATTACACTTCTGGGGTGCTCGGGTACACCCCACTTGTTGTTCCTGTAGATGGGCCGCTGCCCGAACTTCACAACCCCCTTGACCACTTCCCAGTCCAAGTTACAGGAATACGTAGCTAAGGAAATACGGCCTTAGGGTAAACTGTTACTGCTGTGTTGAAGCTGGTAGATAATAACAACTGATACCTTTTTAAAGCCTTCTCTAGAAAGTGTCACAGAGGTAACTTTGGTTACAAACTCTGGCTTGGTACTTTATTTTTTTGTGTTCTATCACTTTCCCCAGACATTGGCTGCTGCTCCCCATCATTAAAATATTTAAGTGATCTGGGTTGGAAGAG